TTATCAAATAGATAACCCCAAACTCCCACTTCAGGGTGGAAATGATCTCATATTTTAGTTTAAAGGGGGGGTACAATGCTGTTTCATGCATTCAGAGTTGTTTACACTGTTAAAGAGTCGGATTCTCATGCTAAGCATGGACAAAATTTCAAAAAACAATTTGGACGTATGACGGAGTATTTCTGTGCTAAAAATCTTACTCCCGGGTTCGTACAAGTTTCAGAGAGTTTTTTTCGATCGTGTCTCTTCATGACGTAGACGAGGGTGGAACTCCTTATATGGGCATTTCTCCCGGAAGAGTGCGCCCGCGCACGCATCGACAAGAGCGAGATTGCTTCCATCAACGCGCTTCCTTTTTCCGGAGAGAATCGTAAAGCTGTATCTTTTATAAATATGATCAAACTAAAGACTTTTTTATGAAGGATGCAGTACGACTCTATAGGTACTCAAGATTAACATGCGATTGGGTGAAACTGTGTGTGTTATCTCCCCTTTAAATGAGTATCGCAAAGGCCTAAATCTTTGGAATTTGCTGGTTATTGTCACCAAAATCGATGGTAAAATTCACATGAATCACATGGGACCTGTAATATGACCTTAAGAAGAATGCAAGGAACAATAACAATCAGGAAATTAAAGAGTATTTCTCAGTGAGTTTGTCAATTTGTCAGTTTGCTAGAAAGAGAAAAGGACAGTAATGTTGAGCACATGTGGTTGTCCAGGCCCTTTCCTCTCAGAAGAGCAAAAGAACCAGAAGCACATGTTATTAAAATGACAATGCACTTCAATTGTAAAATCTTTTGCATAATTACTGAGAAGCATCTCTACTCTGTCCACTGGCCCAGCCTGAAGCTTTCAAAAGGTTCTCAAAAAGTGCAGAGAGATTTGCCATAATTTAACTTTCACTACAAGACATTTTGAGGAAAGAAGTGATAAGCAAAGAAAGTAACCATTTACTCACCCTCATGTCGCTCCAAACCTGAATGACTTCCTTCCTTCTGGGAAACACTGATGGTTTTCAGAAATGTTCACACTGCTCTTTTCCATACACTGAAAACATTTAGTGACTATATATTTCAAGCAATCCATATATATATATATATATATATATATATGCGCATTATTTTCCAAGTCTTCTGACTGAAGCCTTATGATACAGCAGCTCTGTATGAGGAATTTACCAGAATATAATTCTATAATAGTTTGATATGCTTGTAAACCCACCTGGTGTTGAGGTGTTTCTTTGTTTGAGTTATTCATTATTTTGGACTGGACTGCAAAATAAGGGGGCAAAATGTCATGCATCAGGAAAACCACATGTGTTTGCCATTGGAAAAGTAGATTGTTATCTTGACAATGTTTAGTTCTGGTCACGGTACGGTTGTGTTTGTTTGTCATGTTCCTTGGTTTAAGACTCAAAGTTCAGGGATTAGCTGAAAGACTCTTACAGACTTGTGGATGTTTTGTGAGCAGTGTTATTTCAAGAAACTATTATAGGTTTTATTGATATTTTGAATATTTATTATTATTATTTATTTCAGTTAAAGTTTCAGTAATTTTGTTGTGAGTTTTTGTCATTTTTATGAGTTTTTTAAATTAATTGTAGTTTTTATTATATTTTTATATAGGCCCAAGTACCAGAGAGATTGATGAGGAGAATAGTTTTTTTTTTTTTTTTAAGTTATTTTAGTACTTGTAAAAATCGACGCGTTTCAAAAAGGCGGGGCATAGAGGAGAAACAATAATGTACAGTATGTGGAAAATAATGTGTTTTTTTAACTTTAAACTGCATAAACACATTTCATTACACCAAATACACCAAATAATGTTCTTTTTAGCAGCATCATATGACCCCTTTAACACTTGTATTCAGGAAGGATGCATTAAACTGATCAAAGCTAACAGTAAAGACATTTATAATGTCTTTGTAATCTTAGAGATAAGCAGATGGGTTGAAATGAAAAGATACTACTTCTAATACTAGCTCTACAGACAAATTGCTTTACATTGCTCAAATTACAAGTTATGAGGCTATGTAGATGCACAGAACGTTTATAAATCATAAAGAAATGGACAGTATAACATCCGATCAGGTATAAGACGACGTGCTTGTACTTACAATTTAGTTAGGAACGCCCTCTCGTGGCCTTACTGGAAATATAGATGATAATGAAAGTGCAAAAGTGTGAAAGTGAAAAAGTGCAAAAGTGAAAAAGTGAAAGTGACGAGGAAAATGTGCATGGGTGTATTAGCGAATTTAGTCAACATTTAACTAACAGGCGTGGTCTAGTTGAGATTGGTGAGGAATATTGGTGATACTTGGTAAAGCCGTGAAAATCTAAGCGAATGACCTCCATAAATACTATTATCTTTCACAGAACAGACAAAATGACACTTTCATGGTCAATTTTCTTATCAAACACCTTCAGGACATTGTGAACCCTTTAAAAAAAAAAAACATATTTTGACGTAACTCACAACGCCTCACGATTTGACTGTAATAAAGAGTCTTTATTGCAACCCACATTGCTGAACATGTATGAAACATGGATAAACATGCATGAAGACAGAAAACAGACAAGACCTGAGCTCTACAGGACATCAAGTGCGCTTTTTGAATAGCGTGAGCTCACATTTGAGGAGGGTAGCTGATTGTTAAGCGAACAGAAAGGCAAAGAAAGAGAGAAAGAGTTTTTATGGAAAAAAAACTAAACGGAATGTCACATGAAGGACGAGGGCAGCATCATACAGATAAATTAAGCTGCATCATATGACCAAAAGAAATCACATTCACTTAAAGTGCGCTTTGTAATAAACACAACTCTGAAGTTATTTGACAACGCATTTCGTTTAGTCTCAAGGACCTAAAAAGACATCTTTCTGAAGTTTAACAGTCATTCTGTTTACCACGGTTCAGCATGGTAAAGCACACATCGTTCTGTTAAGCAGTCACAGAATGTCCAACCGAGACCAGGGAAGAAAAGACAAAGTGACGCAGTGATACAGCAAAAAAACTCAAGAACAGAAGTGTGTTAAGGCTTCAGTATGCATCCAAGATGCATACGCTTTTCCTCAAAAAGAATAACAAACTCATTTAAAGGAATATTTCACCCAAAAACGATATTTCTTCAAACGAAATTCCAGTCTTCACGCTACTTCTTTGCATACAATTAATAAAGTTCAAGCTCCAGAAATGCATCATACAAACAAAAAACTCCATCATAAAAGTCAAATTCATGCACTACATTCCAACTCATACAATAGTTTTCTGTAAGGAACAGACCAAAATTAAGTTATTCACTGCTCTCAAACCTCATTCACAAAAGCATTCAGATTGCATGTTGCCAGGGGGAAAGCTTTTGGCCAAGAGAGGGTTAGATTTTGCTCCGTTCCTCACACAAAGCTTTCACATTATTTCAGAAGACTTGGAATATAGTGCACAACTTGTATGCACTACTAAATTGTGCTTTAAAACTTCTACTGTTTCCGCCAGAATTACGAGGTATAAACTCAAAAGTGCAAGATATAAACTCGCACTTCTGAAAAGTTCAACTTGTGAGATATAAACTGCAATTGAAAGAAAAAAAGTCAGAATTTAAAGATGTAAACCCGTTATTGCTAGAAAAAAAATGTCAGAAATCTGGGTTTATATCTTGCAATTCTGACTTTTTTTTCTTCTCAGAACTGCAAGAAAAAATGCTGAATTGTAAAGAGTCTTTATTGCAACCCACATTGCTGAACATGTATGAAACATGGATAAACATGCATGAAGACAGAAAACAGACAAGACCTGAGCTCTACAGGACATCAAGTGCGCTTTTTGAATAGCGTGAGCTCACATTTGAGGAGGGTAGCTGATTGTTAAGCGAACAGAAAGGCAAAGAAAGAGAGAAAGAGTTTTTATGGAAAAAAAACTAAACGGAATGTCACATGAAGGACGAGGGCAGCATCATACAGATAAATTAAGCTGCATCATATGACCAAAAGAAATCACATTCACTTAAAGTGCGCTTTGTAATAAACACAACTCTGAAGTTATTTGACAACGCATTTCGTTTAGTCTCAAGGACCTAAAAAGACATCTTTCTGAAGTTTAACAGTCATTCTGTTTACCACGGTTCAGCATGGTAAAGCACACATCGTTCTGTTAAGCAGTCACAGAATGTCCAACCGAGACCAGGGAAGAAAAGACAAAGTGACGCAGTGATACAGCAAAAAAACTCAAGAACAGAAGTGTGTTAAGGCTTCAGTATGCATCCAAGATGCATACGCTTTTCCTCAAAAAGAATAACAAACTCATTTAAAGGAATATTTCACCCAAAAACGATATTTCTTCAAACGAAATTCCAGTCTTCACGCTACTTCTTTGCATACAATTAATAAAGTTCAAGCTCCAGAAATGCATCATACAAACAAAAAACTCCATCATAAAAGTCAAATTCATGCACTACATTCCAACTCATACAATAGTTTTCTGTAAGGAACAGACCAAAATTAAGTTATTCACTGCTCTCAAACCTCATTCACAAAAGCATTCAGATTGCATGTTGCCAGGGGGAAAGCTTTTGGCCAAGAGAGGGTTAGATTTTGCTCCGTTCCTCACACAAAGCTTTCACATTATTTCAGAAGACTTGGAATATAGTGCACAACTTGTATGCACTACTAAATTGTGCTTTAAAACTTCTACTGTTTCCGCCAGAATTACGAGGTATAAACTCAAAAGTGCAAGATATAAACTCGCACTTCTGAAAAGTTCAACTTGTGAGATATAAACTGCAATTGAAAGAAAAAAAGTCAGAGTTGAAAGATGTAAACCCGTTATTGCTAGAAAAAAAATGTCAGAAATCTGGGTTTATATCTTGTAATTCTGCCTTTTTTTTTCTTCTCAGAACTGCAAGAAAAAATGCTGAATTGTAAAATAAAAAGATGCAATTACATTTTTTATTTTATTTTATTTATTTTTTACTCTTGTGGCCCAAACAGGCTTCCATAGTAACAGCATGTGGGTTTGAGACGACATGAGGGTGATTAAATAACAACAATCTTGATTTTAGGGTGAACTTTCCTTTTAAGTGAGAAAAGTTGAGTTGGGCTCTCTACAAAACAAAACAACTTCATCAAATTATTCAGAATATATAATTAATCAATCTGCCCATTTAAATTACTCCCTGCACAAACTCACAAACAAATACAAATCCGACACACCAGCAGGCATTCTACTATTCACATCATGTGCTGAAATCAGAGACAAAATGTTTGAAATAACACTTTATATACAGCCAAAGGAAACGGAGAAGACACTTTGGTCAACACACACGCACAAAGCAAAAACCAGCGCTAAGAATGGTTTAACCCATTTAAATACTTGCTCACAATTTTGTCAGGTATGTCGTCACAAAAGTTTATAAACATAAGACCGTCGTCTCTTAATACAGATTGATGAGGACGTTAAAGTCTTCTGGACGTTTAAACAGTTCAGGAAAAAAAAAAAAAAAGAGAGGTAACACCTCAACTAACTTCATTTAGTACTGCGTCTAGATCAGCTAGGATGCGTCCTCCTCTTCAGCACGATTCCTTCAATTTACCCAAAAGCCGGCACCCATCCGGACCAAAGCAAGGAAACAGATGGAGTCCGTGACTCTCTCCGGTGAGTCAGATGTCAGTTACACGAGCAGCGGTTTGGTTGATCTCTGGAGGTTTGCTTCAGCTGCAGAGCTTTCTCAACCTCACTCCATTTTAGACATCTCATACTTGGTGGTCATGATCTCCTGTGTGAGAATCGGGCATGAATTCATTCGTTTATTTATGATGGGTGATGCAAGTGTTCCAAAACACAGAAAAGTGAATAAAACTATGGAAACTAGACAGTGTTATTTTAGTGTCACTAGAAACTACACTGATGATTTGATTCATATTTTGAATGATTTTCTATTTTAAGATTTTCCATATTTATTTTAAATGTTGAAGTTTTAGTAATTTTGTCGTTTTATCATTTTAGTTTTTTCTATATTTCTAAAGAGTTTTACTAATTTTTATTTCCATTTTATTTAAATTATTTTAATACGTCAAGTTAAAGTAAATGAAAATGAAAAATGTTGTATTGCAACTAGCTGAAATAAAAAAAGTTACATTTTTATTTATGTACTTTAAGTTCACAATTATTTTATTTTATTTCAAGCAACGAAAATGTGTGTTTTTTTATGGCTTTCATAAACATCTGTTACTATGATAACCCTGGAACTGGATCAGATTTTTTTTTTCTCCACCCCACGTATCCCATTTCAGAAGAAGAAAACAGTAAAGAAAAACTGAAAGACTAAAACTTAAAGATACAGCAAAGCAAAACTATGATAGAAATAAAATGAATCTGCATACCTCATCTGAGTCGAGAAGAACAGGAAGAGCTCTGACAATAAAAGTGAATAATTACAAATTTACATGGGAAGCTTTTTTCTTGTAAACAGGAGAGGGAGTATGTATGTAGGTTTTTGTCAAACAGAAATGACCTACACATCAGACAGAGAGGTGGGAATATTCTCCTCCACCCACTTCAAATCTTCATCCTGAAACAATCAAATATTGGATTATTATTATGTTGCATTATATTGTATAATATTTATTACATTTATTGACATTTACTACTTTATTTATTGAAGACGCTTTATTTTAATATTATATTACATTATATTTAGAGATGCACCGATGGCAATTTTCTTGGCCGATTCCCATTTCCGATTTTTTGTTAGTGTGATTTGCCGATACCGATTTTTGCCGATTCCGATTTTCTTTCTAAGAACTATAATTGACAGCATATACAACAAAAATCTACTTTTCTTCAACGCAAAGTTTTATTTTCATAAAAAAACACAAGTAAAAAGGCAGTAATGAAATAAGAACAAATAAAAAAAATTGCAAATAGCGAAGGGGTCGTCGGAGAGAAGAGAGCGAGAATGTGCGGCTGATGTTGGTAACGGAACGGCTCGATCCGGGCTGATCATGAGGAAAATCGGCCGATTCCGATCCCTGGCCGATCGATCGGTGCATCTCTAATTATATTATAAAAGGAAAACATATAAAAATAAAAATGTTGGGTCTATGATTTTTATTATGTTTTTTATTAAGTCTCTTATGCTCAACAAGGCTGCAAAAATACAGTAAAAACAGTAATATTGTGAAATATTATTACAAATTAAAACAATTGTTTTCTATGTGAATATATTTTAAGATGTAATTTATTTCTGTAATCAAAGCTGAATTTTCAGCATCATTACTCCAGTCTTCAGTGTCACATGATCCTTCAGAAATCATTCTAATATGCTGATTTACTGCTCAAGAAACATTCCTTGTTTTTATCAATGTTAAAAACAGTCGTGCTGGAAACCGCTTTACATATTTTCAGGATTCTCTGACGAACAAGTTCAAAAGAACAATTTATTCGAAATAGAAATCTTTTGTAACATTATAAAGCTTTTTATTGTCACTTTTGATCAATTTAATTTGTCCTTGCAGAATAAAAATAATTTATTTTAAAAAAGTGAACATTTAAAAATCCTAAGAACAGTTTAAATATTATTCAAATATTAATAATAAAAAACACAACTATATATGGGACAGTTTATTTACATGTTCACACTGACCGGATTAGTTGCTGCAGGCTTCACCATTCCATTGGTTTCTGTCTTAGCTGCCCTCAACTTTATCCCATCAGCTGAGGATGAGAGTGCATATTAATTAACCCACAATTTTCATATAACACCATTTCCATACAGTACAATAACATCAGCTTAAAGTGAATACCTCAGACATATAGACACAAAATAGTGTGACTGACCGATGTTTGCAGACACCAGGAACTCTTCAATCTCCTCATCATCTGAGTCATCGATGAGCGGTGTGTACGCATACCTACACACAGAGCACATGGATGCGGTCAGGACGCCGCTTTAGAAGAAAGAGAGCAAAGCAGCTGACTAGGATTCGGAAAAGAGATGATCTCTTCAGTACGCTTGCCTTTGGTTATTGACAGACGGCCTCCACAGAAACATGATGACCAGCAGAATGATGGAGAAGAGGAACCTCCAGAAAGCATCATCCACCCACAGCTCCATCCAGTCCTGCTCATGAACACACATGAACCAGTTTTAAATCTTCCGGTTCTGCTCCAATCAGAACAGAGCTTTAACCTCAGAGAGCTCAGATACTCACTGCCTGACAGTCTGCTAACCGGAACTTCTTCGTTGTCCAAACCATGAAAATGATAGAGGCTGAAACACGCCACATATCAGTCACCTTGACTGGGTTTCATTATTCCGCTGTATTGGGTGATATTCCATGCTTTATACTCACCGAGAACAGCAAAGATGAGTGTGTTGGTGAAGTGTCTGTACAAAGACAACTTCACTGGGTTTCTTCTGAGTTTTAGAGTCTTAATGGTTTGTGCCAGACTGACAAATATGTGAGATATAGTCAAGGAGTCACTGACTTACAGGACCATAAGACTAGGAATATTATGACTTATTATTAATCTAATGTGGCGTGCTGTCAATTATCACAGTCAAAAAAATAAATAACATGAGACCTGAATATGCTAAAATAGACTTGGAATAAGCAGGCTGAACTACAGAATAATGTTGAAAATATGCAACTATCAACACTGTTTCAGCTATTATATTTATTATATTATGATATGCATATTATTTATAGTATAGTTCAATATTATATAGAAATTTAAAATACTATGTTTGTGCATGCAGTGAAGTTGTGCTGATTTACTATCAATATACAATACCGTTCAAAAGTTTGAGGTCGGTAAGATTTTTAAAATGCTTTTGAAAGAAATCTCTTCCGCTCACCAAGGCTGCATTTATTTGATCAAAAATTCAGCAAAAACAGTAATATTATGAAATATTATTACAATTTTTAATAACTGTTTGCTATTTGAATATATTGTAAAATGTAATTTATTCCTGTGATTTCAAAGCTGAATTTTCAGCTTCATTACTCCAGTCTTCAGTGTCACATGATCCTTCAGAAATCATTCTAATATGCCGATTTGCTGCTCAAGAAAAATGTCTGATTATTATCATTTTTTTAATCAGGTTTCTTTTATGAATAGAAAATTCAAAAGAAGAGCATTTGTTTGAAATATAAATCTTTTGTAACATTATAAATGTCTTTACTGTCACTTTTACATTTGATACATTTAATGCATCCCTGCTGAATAAAAAAAAAATTATTTCTTAAAAAAAATCTTACTTGACCCCAGACTTTAGAAGAGTAGCATATTTGCAGTGCTAAAATGCACCACCTTCCATTATATGGATATTTACAGTAAACGCATGTCGAAATTGTCTATGGTATTTAACAGCATTGCACACATGCATAAACATAATGCTGAAAATAAACCGTAATATTCTTTTTAGCATCATGCTTAGTAAGAAAGTCATCAGGTAAGTCAACTGGCAAATAAGAAAATAAAACAACTCCATAAATAAGGCATCATGCAGGAATAAAATACGGCCCAATAGACAGATTGTGCGGGGGTAAAGACACAAACACGGCTTCCTAAAAGGATATCCACCAACACAGAGAGGAGTCAAGCAGAGCCAGGGGAATGTTGGCTAGCAGGGCCAGGTCAGAGTCTTTAGCCTGAGGGAGATGCACAGAGGCGGGAAAAATAAGGAATAGGAAACAGTAGGTACAATGAAACTAAAATAACACTAAAAGGAATAAGCACCTTTCAATGCTTCTCAACTACATGGTTATAGCGTGCAAATAATTCACATTTGTAAAAGACAAAATTAGTTATATTAAAGGAACAGTTCACCCAAAAATTTAAATTGTGTCAAGAATGATGGCAACCAAACAGTTTTGGTTCCCATTGACTTCCATTATATGGACAAAAAATACAATGGATGTCAATGGGAATAGAAACTGTTTGATTACCAGCATTCTTCAAAATATCTTCTATGTTCAACAGAACAAAGAAAGTCGTCATGAGGGTAAGTAAATGATGACAGAACTTTCATTTTTAGATGAATTATTCCTTTAAAACCCAGTTGGTATAATTCTGTCAATTAAATTAATTCTTCCTAATCGAACAGGCTCAATAAGCTCATCGGAAGGATATGAACCAGATAGCAGAAGAATCAAACACAGCTAGTATAACGTATGTGACGAGGGCTGGTCCATTATCTCGACCCTTACAGATCAACACCAATCACACTCGTTTTTCACAACAAATCCAAATGACAACTCATAATTGACAGTTATTAGACAAGAATTGATGTTTATATTGAGGAACTGCATTGCAAAAAAACAGTTTAAAAAGCTCCAGGATGTCAGCTTTACCCCAGTGATCCTCAGAACGCCCTCAATTGCAGCAAATGCGAAATAAAGCACACCCAGACCCACCACTCTGTGCATGACGGTGCCTAAACGCGGCCTGAGAAAACACAAAAACATCATCACCATCATCAACAACATCTCATGCTATCTAAAATAACTTACAGGAATAGTTCACCCAAACATGAAAACCTGCTGAAAATGTCCTCACCCTCAGGCCACACAAGATGTAGATGAGTTTGTTTCTTCATCGGAAAAGATTTTTTAGCATTTCATAACTATAGCATTACATCACTTTAAACTCTCACTTCTGGCCAAAAATACAAGTCCATAATTCATAAAAACGCTTCCTCCAGTGAAAAAGTCCATCCCCTGTTGTTCTCTTACATCAAAATCTGCAAACATATTTGTCTAGAACTGATCTGGACGGTTTTCGCTTGCAAATGGTTCTTAATCTGGGCAGATTTCTCTCCTGATTCAGAAAAGATGACTTTTTCACTGGAGAAAGCAATATTATGGATCGAGGATTCGCATTTTAGTCGGAAGCAGCAGTTTGAAGTTAAAAACATCTTAATGATGGTTTCTTTTCTTACAAATGCGCAGCTTTTCTCTTCACAAGACGTAAATTGATTGACTGGAGTGGTGTGGATTACTTGTGGATTATTGTGATGTTTTTATCAGCTGTTTGGACTCTCATTCTGACGGCACTCATTCACTACAGAGGATCCACTGGTGATGTAATGCTACATTTCTCTAAATCTGTTCTGATGAAGAAACAAACTCATCTACATCTTGGATGGCCTGAGGG